TATTTATTTATTTTTTTAAATCAATCCAACAGAAAGCTGGATTAAATTTTGTATGTCTATAACCATTTTAACTCACTTGTGTATCTCTTGTCCTGGTACGTCGCCCCGGTCCAATCAGCTACCTATCAAATATTAAATTGTTTAGATGATAAATGAAGCGTACTTCAAAACACACATCTAAGCCACACATCACTGAATCATACGCCTATTAGCACATATCAAAATAATTGACAAACTACATCATACACCTATTAGCACATATTAAAATTATTGACAAACTACATCATTACTATGGCCTGTTGATTGGACCTTAAAATCAGCTTAACTTTCCCCATATATAGCTAGATATGTTATTGCACAGAAATGTTTTAGGATGAATTTTACAGGAAATGCCATCCAGGGATTTTTAGCTGCAGAATTCAGGTCAGGATGTCACAGAATCACAGGGGCAGTGCAAGTCGCCTGCCACAGTCATGGGCAGCTTAAGGCACGCTCCTACCCACCTTGCCCAGCCGATCCCCCTTGCTGAAGGGCTGGTAGGGCATGTCTTTAAACTTCTCTGGGACTGCACAGGGACCCCAGCCATGGGGGTTGTCCTGGATGACAGGGGCGTGGAATTTCGCCATAGCCTGTGGGGAATGAAGGTAGTACAGTTACTTTATTTCCTCATCGATTCATATGCAATGTTCCCAAAAAAAAAAAAGCATAATCAGCCTGCGCTTTCCTGATGGTCTCAGACGATGCTCAGCACTGCTATCTCCAACCATGCCCAAGGCATAAGTCAGCTTGCGCAGTGGACTAGTCATCACAGACCACGGGAAACAGCCAAATATTCATGCCAACACTGAGGGTGATCACGATCGCTTACTAACATACGGTGTTTAACACGGAATGGCAGTAACTTTGGAGACACATCATGCAAATGCAGTTTCAAACGCATGATACACCGTGACCAATGAATACGGAATTAATGCAAACGGCTTAAATCCCCAACCTAACCAACTGACTGGGAATGCCATGCATTTACACATTTTCGGCAACAGGGCATAACGTTACAGAAACAGGTTAAACAGCTTAGCCATGGAAACGACCGCGACTCCTGCAGAATTAAGCTGCATCCCAACGCCGGTAAAAAAAAACGGCAGTAGAAACGATGAACATGCAAATTCAAAAAACGTTTACGTCCGCATTACAAATAGTTGGTTTCCCGTAAAAATTTGGACAGCTTTTATTCGTTTCTGCAAATTAAAACATTTACACGAGTCAACGAGGCCTATTACTGGATTCAGAAATAGGTCGCATCTTTTAGCATCAAGACATTTATCATACTAACGCCTCTACTTAATATCCAAAATGCTGATACAGCAGACACTACAGTTTCACATTTGCCAACTTAATCTATAGATGCCAGCTAAAACACAGCAATTTAGTTACACTACGTCATTCTCTACATTCAGTCAACAAACGTGATATTTACGGTTAAACAGCCTAATTAAACTACTACATAAAATCAGAATCACTTCCCATCTGTGTCTTCGGCATAAATTAAAACTTACAATAACCGTTCAGAATTGCAATTTTGAAGCGACTTGCCGAAACGTCAAGCAGATTAGACAAAAAGAGACCAAACAACACAAATGCAAAAAAAATGTACGTAAATGACACATTCTACATTACCCAATACCCCTCACACACATATATCCGTATTTATTACCTTAAAGTATTATTGGATGTTACGGATGACTATTGGATTTATAATTTTTAAATCCACGACTTCCAGTATGAGAAATTTGGAAACTCGCCGGCGGAAAAGCCGTAAAGCAGAATCTGTTTCCGGCCGTGATGTCACAGACCGCCTTTACCAGTGACAAAGAGAAAGAGACTGTAAAATTACCATATTAAATATATTATAGATATATTCAATTATCGTAAATAGACATATTATCTGTGGCCAATGTTGTTTCAATAAAAATATACAATTAATTAGGAAACAAACCAAATGTCGCAAACAATACGCTTTACGGCAGGAAGCTGGGGCTGAAACTTCTGCACAAACGAGAAGGGTGGACGGTAAAGGGCCGTAGTGCGATTGTTGCCGCTTCATTCTGTCTGCTGTTTTTGCGTATGCATTGTTGTTATTGCTGTTTTGTTATACCCCCGTGTTTTTTAATTTGGTGGTGTTAGTTTTACACCAACAGATATTCCAGTTAAACTAACGTAGCAACACTATGGGTAGTTGCCTGATACATTCAGCGGGCGCGAGCCCAGCCCACACCCCCTTGTTTAACATTAAGTTTTTATGCAGCTTTTCCAACTGCTCAGACGAAACTGTTGACAGTTATTATTGAAGTCCTTTGATGTAGTTAAGATGCTTGTAGAAATGCCGTTTAATGTACTTTAGGTTTCCATTATCGTGCCTCAAAATAAATTTGAAAACAAATATTGATTTCAGTCTTGCTTCATGTATCAGATAATTGGATTCTGTTATTTTAAATTGCCGTCGGAGAAATGAACTTATTCATGTTCTTATTTTCTTAATAATAGGATTATAATTTAACCCCATATCGCCGAAGAACAACCACCATGACACATGCACCCAGCATAGAATGTTACACACACACACACACACACACCATCTGTAATATTAATAATAGTGTTCTCTATATAGGCAATGCGCTTTGGACTCAACAGTGTAGAGGGACTGAAAAACACAAACTTAAGAACCGTCTTTGTGGTAAGTTACTATAAACAAATACCCGGACTATAATAAAGGCAAACGCTTTTCAAGCAAATGTATGGAATTACAGTGCATGCAATTTTGCCTGTATGTTTAGGCTGAGTTGGTGTGTACTGGGCCCAGGTTTACATGGGTGTCTAACTGCGTAGCACCTCAGATTCATAATGTGCAACTTCAGGAGCGATTGTACTCCCTCAGTTATTTCAAATGCACCCAGATTTTACTGTAAAGGATGGAAATTAGAGTTTAATTCACTTTGGTCATCTTCATGTATCTTGAATTGCACAGTATTTAGATTTCAACAGCAATTTTTCAGTATCTCATAAGCAGCAACTTAAGCTCAAGGTGCACTGATTGTGTCTTAATTCACATCAAACATTAAATTGAATCTCTTCATTAGCTATAATGTTATGCAAATTTAAACAGTGCAAAATGTAAACTGTTTCTAAGTTAAAGCATCTGTGTTGTAAACATTTGTGCGTCCTGTTAAAAAGCAAATAATGTCTTCCCTTGCCTGCTTTACAAGTGTGTTTGGGTAACTTGACATTTTCAGTTGGGGTTTCAACGAAGGCTGTGAACCAATCGTGATCATTATTTCTGTGTCCATTGCACATCCAGACAGTAGCGTTGGGTGCATTGATGCTCCCGCTGCTGAGAACTGTGGGACTGCGAGCATTCTCAATGGCGTCGGAAACATATTCGTCTGGCACACATTCTGCTGCTTTTGTCACCTGTCCTAATGAGCAGGTGGCCAAAGATCTGGCCAGGTAACAATTTCAAACCTAGCGACGATATCTGGCTGTTGATATATTCTTAAAACAATGGGTTTACCAACACAAGGAGTAAGAATTATAAACAGTTATTATAAAACGAGTTTCTGAACAACCTTTCACCTTTAAAGCAACAGTTCTTCTTTTATAGAGAATTTTTGGTAACACATTGAAATAGTTCCCTTTAAATTGGGATTTACAGGTGGGGGTTTCTGACTGACTAAATGGAGTGATGAGATCTGGGGACAGTGAATGAAAATTAAAAGAAAATGTTTTCAAAAATAAGGCTTCATAAATTTTGAGAGTGTATCGGAAACCAAAATCCCGGTTAGTCCTTAGAGACAGAATGAGTGTAGCTTTTTTTGAATCCTGTCGAAATCAGATGTCTAGTTATTATCCGTTGAGAATGAGGTCTGCACCATATGTGCTGAGCAGAAAACAGAAGAGGCCGGACGAAATGATGGTTAAGAATTATACCTAAAGCAGAAGTGGAAAGAGGCAGTAGATGGTTCATAGATACAGACCAGAAGCTTGTTTGCTCATGTGCAATGAGGGCTGCTCATTATAGTACCCTTGAAGAAGATGATTAACCTGAATTGATTCACTAAAATACTGGTTGCTTTAGGCAAACCTGATATATAAGTGTGCTTACTTCCCCGTGTTCATGGTGTGATGCTGTCTCCACAGAGGCATGGTGGAGAAGAAACTAGCAGCCTGTGTTAACATTGTGCCCAAGATCACATCCGTGTAAGTGTGAATTGCACCAATGCAGTGTGGTGTGAAGATCCGCTACTGGCCGGCAACCTAAAGGCTGAGCTCTGCCTGTTATCTTCCAGGTACGAGTGGCAGGGGAAGATTGAGGAGGACAGTGAGGTCTTGCTGGTGAGTGTCTTTGTTCCTGGCGTGCATTGCTCACCTTGTGAAGAGCTTGTTAAAATTTATACGTGTGAATGTCTGTGTGTCTAAATACAATGATGAGCCAAACCTTTGCGACCACCCCCATTTGAAGCGAATAATGCTGACTAATAAATGTGTCAAGCTCTGAGATATATTAGATGTCAAGCTAACATTCCGTAGCCTACTTGAAGTCGACATGTTGAACGCAGAAATGGACAGGGGTAAAGATCTGAGTGATTCTGACAACGGCTGAATCATTATGGTCAGACAACTGGGCCAGAGCATCTCAGAAACGGCAATGTGATGTTTATGGTCGGCCATGGTGAATTCCTACTGTGAGAGGTCTGAGGAGGGAAAAACCATGAATTGCTGTCAAGGTGTTGGGCGACCAGGACTTATCAATGTAGGCTTTGAATGAACAACAACAACAACAAATGTATTTTTGTGTAGCGCGTTTTCACAACATTACATGAAGGTTATCCTGTCTGGTACAAAGCTGCAGAAGAGCTACTGTGGCAGATAATTGTAAAGATGGTCACAGGAGTAATATGTCCTATGTCCTGTCACACAGGCCGCGTGCACAAACACACACACACACAGACGCACGCACGCATACACACGCACGCACGTACACACACACACACACACACAGCTTCTATGAGTTGCATTGGCTAACCTTTGGAGATTCATTGTTGTAGTTGGTGTAGTAACCAAGAAATGGGCAAGTTGTCCCCAACAGCAATACAATGGCAAAATCATTTACTGTTAATTTGATGTGAAATGCTTGTTACAGACTTTGTGAAATTCTACTTTTAATCTCAGTCTATAAATATTTGATTAACTGACATTGTAAAATATATTAGGAGTATGTTAAAAGCCCAAGTGAATATGGTTGGCTGTAATATAATAGTCTTTTGAGCATAGTTGAGTTCAGTAAGGTTTTTGGCCTGAAATGTTAAAAATACTTTATACGTGTAGCCTCCGTAATGAATTACTGACATTGTGGTACTGTGGTGTGATTTTAATCCATGCCAGATGATTAAAACCAGAAGTTCGAAAGTTTCAGCCCTGGCAGAATATGTAAGGTAAGTAGAAAATAGCTATCTCCTTATGGGTTAAGTATGCACAATTGGACACTAAATGCTTATAAATTATTCATTTTAAGATTTATTTTAGACGTGCTCAAACCTCCCCTTGAAAATGAGTCGCTCTTCAGTTTTTACCTCCCACTGCGGGTGTGTAAATAAACAAGATCTTAACATGCTGTTATTTATGTAAAATATAGCGTGTGCTTCCTTCCTGCCTGGTTGTTGAGAATCCCGCAGACTAAATGCTGTCAATGAGGCAGATATGTTGCCTTTTTTGACTGCAGGTCGAATCACCCCTATGAGGTGGCAGAGGTGATCAGCCTGCCCATCGAGCAGGGAAACCCACCTTACCTAAAGTGGCTGGGTGAGACTGTGCCAGAATAAACGCACCTCTCCCCCAGAACACCCCTTCCCTGGCTGCTACCATCTTCCAAATGGCACCGAATCCATATGCATCAACCAACGAAAAAAAGTCAGTCCGAAAGAATTGATCTAAAGTATTTCCCATACCTATTTTGTTCTGTTTGTTTGTACTGAAATGGAAATAAAATTGTTCGAAACAAAGGCGCTTAAAGATTATCATATATATGAGTCATCACACGGGACTCTATTTTTGTGGTGGTGTTTCTATCAGACTTTAGAAAGCATCCGTAACGTTTAACGGCAACGTCAGGTATCTGAATCATTTCACGTTGCACGTCCGTCGCTAGATGGAGACATTTCCCCGCTGTGCGGCACTCCTCGCTATGCAGAGACATACAAGAGAGAAGCTCTCCGGTGGCTTCAACCCTGTTTATCTGAATTATACAACACTGTGTGCAAATCATTCTGTTTAAACATGCCGTATTAATTAAGTGTTATTAGTGTACCCGGCGATTTCTCTCTTCTTAGTACTTCATAGAGGTCTAGATAATTCCGAAGAACACATCAGCCACAACTACTGTTGAGAGAATTATTAAATTAACAATAAATATTTTATGTTTATAAAAATATTTCCCCATTCCTTTGATTTAACTTTTGAGATTACTTTCTGGGTTTTATCACACCACAAATGGTGTGATGCAATTGAAAAGAAGTGTTTCTTTTACATTTATATGAACTTATTAAAAGTCTAGAAATTTTGGGGCCAGATTTACTAAGCAGGGCAAATTAGCGGGAGGACGCAATCAAAAGAACAGCGCCAATTAATCTGAGTGGGGAGTTCTGCGGGTGATCTTCTAAAAATACGCTACTTTATTAACACAGACGCAGTCTGTAAATAACGACCGACTCAGTCTACCAATGACAGAGCGAATTAAGAAAGCTTTTTCTGGCCTTAAATAATGGCGTAATTTTCAGTAAATTTCCTACAACGTACAGTAGCACATCACGTCGCATGATTCATTTAAAAACCCCCCCCCCCCCCCCATATGTTGCGCTTTGAAGGGGAACTCCTACCGATGCGTGTGCAGTATGACCACTAACAAACTTAACTGCGTTAACGCCTTTCTAGCGCTAACTTTTCACTGCGTATCTTCACTAAATCCCAACCGTACTGTTTTAACGTCCCAAGTGGGTTTGCGCTGGCGCAAACCGTTAGTAAATCTGTCCCTGAATTGGGGGTGTTATAAACAATCATGCAGTAAAAACCGAAACACAAATCAACATGTGCCATTCAGCTGTCAAGTGTTTTTTCACACTGTTATACAGGTGAGGTAGCTTCTATCCAGAACAATGGATTCATAACTATTTAGAAAATATCTGTCTCAAAATCACATTGAGATGACAACATATTTTGCCCATGCTGTCTAGAAGAGGACTGTTCACACTCCTGATGAGATCTTTCTACACTGTACATAGCATTTCCTCCATTCATTAGCACTGACTATCAGAACTAAGTAGCATAACAGTTAAAGATTCAGACTCGATAGATTGTCAATTTAAAGCATAATTGTGGCTTTAGAAATTCATTCATCCATCCATTTTCTATGCCCACTTGGTTGCGTTGGTCTGGAGCCTATCCCAGAAGCTATACAGGCGAGGCAGGGAATAACGTAGGATGGGGTGCCATTCCATCACATGCCACACGCAGTTTGGTATCTCCAGTTCACCCTGGCTGTACGTGTGTGTTGCTTGCTTTGAGTAGTCGCTCCACCTTAATTGCTCCAGAAAAGGGCATTAATTTGGTAAAACTATAACCTGTGTTGGATAAAACTATTAACTGAGATGCCCAATATGTGTGGCAGTATTATATCAGAGCATTTGTGAAGCACACAAAAGCCTATTAGCCCCAGAAGCATGATTGAGCATAAGAAGTAATTTTTTTCCCGAATAGAGACACCACTGTCAATCTTATGTTCCTATATGGGAACAAACTATAGTCCAAAACTTTTGAAATAACTTTAAAATATGCAGCTATTGGGACACCAAGCAGCCCGAAGAGTTACACCCTTAAGCAAGGTACTTGACGCCAATTTCTTGTACAAGATACACTGCAGTATAATTGGAAGCAAAAATGTAGTAACAGGGCACAAGAGAGGGGGGGGGGGGCACGAAGGGGGTGTCAGCTCATTGCAGCACATGAGGCCACGAAGGGGGTGTCAGCTCATTGCAGCACACACACACTATGGGCAATTCAAACACGTCTAATCTATCCACTGCATGTTTTCTAGATGTAAAAACAGGGAGAAGATGTGGGAATTACATCTATAGCCCTGGAGGTGTGAGGCCACAGTGCTATTCACTGAGCCAATGTGAGAATGAGACCTATCTTGTAGGATTGCTTTATCACACAAGATTGTTCTTATCTCTTCTTTTATTACGGTGCATTCCGTTAAGCATTCTAATGCAAGCCTCAAGATCTGTCTCGATGCAAAAATTAAGCTTTTACCAAAACCATATTGTTACTTTGGGGGATCATATATATATAGTGCGTTTTTTATTAGATCTATTATCCATTGAATGAAATCCTCCATTCCCACTTGTACTTGCTCCTCCAACTCCCGCTTATACTCTAATGACACCACACGACGTTCTCATCTTCCTTTGCCTTCCCGATCAGCAGTCTCTTAGCAACATGACTCACTCCCCTCCCGAGCTTGACGTTGCAGATGGAACGGACACCGAAGCACGTGTCGGCGCGCACGCGTGTCTCCATGTGCACATCACACGCGCGGCATGATGTGTCCGTCTGCTGCCTGGATATGGACGGTCTGCCCGCTCTCGTTTACTCATCTTTGTGACATTTACATTCATGCTGGTTGGACGCTCTCTCTAGGATAGACGTCAAAGCCAATATGGGAGGGCAGAAGCCCCAGAAACGACGAGTGTGTGTGTCTCTTTTTTTTATTTTGATGGGTATTAATTGATTTTAATCAGCGATTCCAGTAACATTTTACTTGAAACTCTCATTTATGATGCAATATAGATACTTTCATAATGCATTATAATGGTCAAAATAAGAATTAACAATGCATTACATGTTCTAATAACAGTCATAAAGCATTATGGTGCTTATTTTAATTCTTCATAAGCTCCAATGAAGCTTTATAATGCATTATAATAGTCGGGATAAGCATTAAGGATGCTTTGTACTGCATTAGTAGGTATCTATAATGCATTATAAAACAAGAGCTTCATAAAACATTCACAATACATAGTAAAAATGGTTAAAATCTGTTATTCCTTTTAATAAATATTTATAGAACATATTGGCTTAAATAGTGAATTCGGAAGATGGTCGTGACATAGTCATCTTAGCAAAAAGTTGATTTCTGCTCCAGCTTCTGCATTCCAGAGGGTTTCCATGTTTCCATATTTCTAATGACTGACTTCCCCCCAGGGTCTCCATAGAACAGTTATGGGGGTAAATTGCTGCACCGTCGGTTATAATCACCCAGTTTATGTGCCGAATCATGTTGCCATAGAGGATTGATTTTTAAATAGTTGTAACGTGTTTGCTAAAAAAACAATCATTATTCAAAGTTGTCATTTGAAGGTGTTTGTCAGTGACCCTGATGTGTTTTATTTTCTCACAATGCTTTTTGTTTTGGTAATTATCGCTACATTTCATCTGAGTGCGCGTTGCGTTGTCAGTCTCACAGACGCCTGGCGCGGAGTCTGTCTCTCGTCAAACAGTGGTCTGACAGGCACGGCCTGAGCCTCAGTGCTGCTCATTATAAGCTGGGTGGCACTGAGAAACAGGGAGTAACATTTTAATATCACCTGACATCGCTGTCAAGGCACTTTGCTTATGGTGGCTGCTTGCTGCTACTCCTTTTCACTTTTAGTGGAAATGACCCCCTCCCCTCAGGGAAGCCTATTGGGGATGTTGAGTTTGGCCTCTGGAATGTAAAAGCTGCAGCAGTAATGACATTTTCGCTGAGGTTTCTTTGTAATGTACCATCTTCTAAATGAATTTATCAACCATTAGCATGTCTCTGGTTGGGTGATCAGTGGATGCAGACAGGAGTCAGTTGAGTACCCCTGATATAGCTGGTAGATGTATCTGTGAATAGGAGATTTAGTTACTCAGACCTAACTAGGGGAATGGTGGTAGAAGGGGATGTTTTTAATATATCTTTTTTTTATTGGGGGGTCATCTACATGAACTAGGGTTGCCACCTGTCCCCGTTTTTCCCGGGACAAGAATTCCTTTTTCTTCCCGGTCATGTTTATATACAGTATCTGTACACGGGTAAAAACGGTTGAAACATCAGCGACGATCGGCCACGTTTATACTTTTATTTGATTGGCGGCAAACGTGCGAAAGCTTATTTTATTACTTATCAGCAGCGCCGGCTGTCGCTCTGCCGCAGCATCGCCATTCACCACCCCAGCGCAGCTTAAATTGCTAGCTAGAGGTAACGTTAGTTTTTTAAAAAGGAACTTTATTTATTTTGCTAGTTTTCTGAAAAGGGGGTGGCGTGTCGGGCGAGGAGGACAATAAAACATCGGATGAGCCACCAGCATCAAAAAGGCGATTTACAAAATACAACGTAGTGAGGGCGAAAAGAGAAAACTCTTCTGAACGGATAAAGTCCAACCAAATAGACTTGGGGGGGGGAGGGTTTCCACAAAGCAGAATTTCCTAGTAAGCCGGATAGTTTAAGCCAAACGTGAAAACTGTCCAATAGGAGGAGAGGTAGGCGACCTTCCTATTGGACAATCCTTACATCTGGCTTAAGTTATCTGGCTAATCAAAAAAGACTGCACTGTGGAATACCCCCCCCCTCCCCGCACTTGTGTTTTGTGTCCAGCCAAAAATCCAGTTAAATAGGAAGGAAAAGCAGCGCTAAAAATTATGCAAAACGAAGTAGCACCACCGTGTTGTATTAAGCAAACGCAAAAATCTACCCCTTGCAACTTTTGGTCAAAGCAGAGCATCAAGTTAGATTAAACTTTATCATGCTTGGAGTTTAAAGTATTCACCGAGGGACAGCAGGGACTTCTGCAGGCGGCGAAAAGGGATGAGAAATACACACGGAAAATAGGTGAGAGTGTCAGTGTTAAGCTGTCCGAATTCATTAAGTTAAAAGGTGTATAATTTTTCATAATACATATAATAATGTTCTTACTGCTAAAGGGAGTATATCTTCGGACATATTAATTAGGGTTAGGTTGCATAATAGATTATAATATAAAATTATATTCTGAGTGTGTATATACTGTTTTTACAGTCATGCCCGGCCGGCCCATGGAGCTGGGGGTTAAGGGCCTCGCTCAAGGCCCCACAGATGTGAGTATTCTGCTGAGGCTGGCCTCAAGTCGGAGACCTTCCACTCACTCGTGTAAGTGTTAGGTAACGTGTTCATGAAAGCATAGCACCTTGAGGACAAATTTTCTCAAGAACATTAGAATCCCTTTTATTTGCCAAGCACATTCACGAGAAGCTGTAAGGGATGTTTTTTCTTTTTTTTTTTGTGGTGTTACACACAGAAACATACACATGCTAGGGCACGCAGAAATATGACAATTATGGGGATAAATAAATATATAAATGGATGAATAAATAAATAAAATGAGAGTGGTACAAAATATAGGCATAGGGCTGCACTGGTTTACTTTTGTGCAGGTGGCTGCCTGGAGATAAATGAGGTCATGGGAATGTGTAAAGCATAAGCAGCAGAATATGATGAGGAGGTAAGCTATTACGTACACCAGGGGTAATGGGTGAGTGGTAAGTGGAGGTACAAAATGTGTTTCTGTGGTTTCGGACTCATCGGAAGGTCTTCAGTTCAAACCAGGTGGCTGGCAGAGTGATGTCACTGTTGGGCCCCTCAGCAAGACTGAGCCTGTCTGACCCTGTTCTCTGGTCCTCACTAGTAAATTAGGGGTTCCTGACCACAGCTGGTGACCATGTAGACCATATATAGATGGGTGGTCTGTGATGTTTGAGTCTATCTGTCTAACTGTCCTGTTTCTTCACCTTTTCCGAGAATTGTGGTCTTCTCCAAAGCACTGGGTCTTCCTGCAATAAGCCCCAAATAAAACAGCTTCAGTCTGCTCGGAGCTTCTTGTTTGTTTGTCCTGCAGTACATAGAATTCTCCTCAAGCTCCAAAGTTCAAAGGCATCGATACTCTTCCTCCCTCTTTTTGTTGTTCTGCTTCCACATCCATAACAAGTCACAGGAAATATCTTTTTATGAATAAATCTGATCTAAGTCCTTAGAGATAAGTCAGTAACTTTGAAGATTTTTTTTTCTATACTGTAGGTCCTTCAATGTCTATACAGTCCTTTCAGTCCAGCTTCTCTCGTTGTATGTTCTGTATACATGTGAAATAGGTCTGGTGATAGTACACGTCCTTTCTAACACCTTTGCCAATGTGGGACCACTCCGCTTCTCCATGTTTCATCCTGACTGTGGATTTTTGTCCAGACCTTCTTTAGAAGGACAATGAGATGTTCTGGTGCACCAATATTTCAGAAAGTATTCCATTCCACAATTGAAGACTTGGTTGTAGCAAATATAGCACATGTTAACATCTATACTGCATTCCTTTTCTGGTATTCCTTTGCTTTTTGGACTATCCATTGTGTGTCAGCAATAAAGTCTCTTATTCCTCTACCTTTCCTGCATCCAGCTTGTATATCTGGTAGTTGTCTTTCAGTGTTGGCTTTTATCTACATTAAATGATCCTTGGCATAATCTTGCTGGCATGTAATATAATGTTTAATATTTTTTTTTATTAACTCATTTGGGGAATATGGGTAATCACTAAATTCTCTTGGTTGTTGTGACTACTGTGATCTCTTGTGTATTTCTTACTGCCTTGACCATACCTGTAAGATTAAGATTAAAATTAAAATTAACTTTATTGATCCCAAGGGGAAATTCTGGATTCCTGTAGTGCTTGACTGTAATAGGTAAGAAGATGTTGTGCTATAAATTAGCACCTATATGGTAGTCCTTGATGTAAACAGAGACAGACCCAGCGGCCAGACGGCTCCTCATTGGCCCCCCTGAGTTTTGGGGTGGTCGTCACCCTGGTGATCCTGACGCCAAGACGATGATGCGGCTGCGGTGTTGCCCGCACCTCCATCTGACTCAATCAGCAGAAGTTGCTGTCACTTACTCAGTTATTTGAGGCGTGACTCATGCAATTCAGGTTCATGCGACTTGCTGACAGATGAACGTCTTTGAGGTAGCTCTGGATCCCCTAGCAGTAGTGCGGTGGACACTAAAGCTATGCAATCTGTCAACCACAAACCAGAACCTTGGGTTGATGTGTCCAATTAAATGTAATGTGTGATCGAGACTGATTTGTTTATGCATCAGTGGGCAGCAGAGTCACTTAGTGTGTAACATTGTCAACAATTAAATCCCTAGTCGGGGGGTCGAATCCGGCCAAATGAATTGTGTGATTGGGTTCTGTTCGCCTTGTGTCTATATGGCTTTCCTCCAGAACCATATGTGCATAAGTCCATTGCTTATGTTTTGTGAGTGTGTCACATCCCCTGTGTGATGTGCTTTCCTCGGATTGGCTTCAGGCTACCTGCTACCTTGGGCAAGTGGTTGAAAGATGGATGTATGGATGATTCTGAACTAGAATTGCAACTTCCCAGGTATTTAGGTATCAACCACAGTCCGAAGACGACACGTTGCAGAAAGATTAGCTGCCGGCCTGTGAGACTCAATCATAGCGATCTTTCTCAGTCTGTTTAAAAACTGTTTGATGGGATCTGACATTTCCCATAATTCATAAACTAAATTCAGATCAGCCACTGGGAGGAACTGGTCATCCTTTTCATATTGGTAATGTTTTTCAGTTTCTTTGTCAACTGACCTTATAGATATTTATTTTATGCAAACCCAGATGGACTTTATGGTTATTTATCACCAAACAAAATTTGGCAGCTTTGGTAGTATATAGGAAAAAAGGCGAAGGGTCTTAGCCGCTAGGACAGATGGGAGAATGAATCTGAGAACTGCGTATTAAAGAGGTCCAGCGAGAAATATGAATTCTTTAGGAAATCCTCAAGTCTAGCTCCTATCAACATATTGCCGTCTCATTACCATGTTAGATAATGAGCATTTGGGGAATATTGGTGGTGGGAATGAAATAACGTCAGTTTATCTTATGAATAATAAGGTGTAACAAATACTTTATTTTATGCTTCTAATTGTAATTAAAAAACATGTTATAAAACCATCGGTGATTAAATAGTTATTTACAATATGTGTAGATATCTTTATGTCCTATTATGCTGTTAAAGAATGGTCCTGTCTAACTGAAAATTACTTTATTCAGAATGATTTTATTCAAAAATGGTTTCATTCAAACGGAACATCGATAAGAAAGAAATTGGAGGATATTATATCGTGGCAAATTATTAAGATTCTGGGTTTTCTTGGGTATTTCATTCAAAGAGCTTGTTAAAAGATGTTTAAATCAAGAACACAATAGCCCTTGCTTTAGTCAATTAGGGAAATCAGTTCCAATTATCTTCCTCCTTTTTCAGCTTCATCCATATTTATGTGCATATTGTGTGTAAGTGTATTTCAGAGGGTCAGTACAATTTATTTGGATCTTAGTATTTTTCAGTTCTTTGAACTAAATTCTAAAAAGTTGTTTTAAAAAGAGTTGGCAAAGAAACAAAATTAAATTATGTATCAGAAGAAGTAATTTGAATATTTTTATGCACTCCACTGAACCACTAACAAAGAGAATATATCCCCACGGTTGTACATATTGCCTCTGAACCTTGTGGAGAATAAGCCATCAGCAGAAAAAAATCAAATGTTATTGTTACTTCTCCAACACCATTGTTTGTAAAGCTGTTTATTTTATTTTTTTTTTTTTTGCTCTAAGGCAAATCATTAATAATATTGGCTAAGCAACAAGCAGTGTGTAATTTATAAAGAAAACCTAGCCACATATTTCTGGTTTAAGGTAACTATATTCAGATCTTTCTACCAGCTACCTAGGTCAATTGTATTTAATTGCTGAACAGTGCTTGTTCTATTAAAGAGATGCAGATGAATACAATCTGGCACGGAACACAGTCTTTCACCAGATCGATCACCATGTGATTCATTGGACATGCTCTAGAGAGCCACTTCCCCAACCGGACATGTGGTGCTTGCAGATACTGTAACATGGTAACTGGCCCTTCCAAACAGAGACGTTCAATCATTGAGTCATTGAGATGGCGTGTAACATACTTCCAGCCTAGTCTGTGGTTCTCCCCTTTTGCTGATTGTTCTGCCGTGTTCTGCCTCAAATCAGACAAGCCCAGCTGCCACCTAAAAGGTCAGCTTTCTCATGTGTATATCTTTGATGTCTTATGATGCTCAAATGATTCTTGATTGTTCTTGTGCACCACATTTCTTCCTTGTTATTCCTTAGACTCTTTGTTCCTCTGCTCTCTGCTCTGCAGGGTTAGGGCCATTCCGGAATGCATTCATCAATTCCAGTCCAAATCAGGAAATGGAACTGGAGTTGGGATTGGAAAAAAGACTATGGAGAACATATTGAATTCGAATTTCAGGGAGATTTAAATTCGAACTCCAGTTCCATTTCCTGATTTGGACTGGAATTGATGAATGCATTCCGGAATGGCCCCAACCCTGCTGCTCTGCCTTCATTTTATGCCTTTCCTCGAAAACTGCGTACACAGCCTTCCTGAAATGTGGTCTGTGGTCTTACTCTGACTGAACAATGCTTTCATTTGCAGTGATAACATGCAACTTAAGAACAAGCTCAGTCTCTGTATATATATAAGTCTTTAGTGCCAGCATTCTGTGGCAGATTTCAGTGGTCCTGTAAAGGAAGTGAATCCTGCGTCACTGCACAGTACTCCAAGCCAGCAGCGCAGTGTAGGAGTGATGGGTTTCGGCCAAGGGGAGAAAAGAAGCAGGACTAACAGTCTGTCTCCATATTTTCCCCTTCAGTGTCCGTGAGCATCTGCAAGCAGCACACAAATCGCTCAGGATGAAAGCATTTCACCCGACCTAACAGTCATAGACTGATTTCATTTGACAAGCTTAGCCTTAGTCTTGTTCTGTGTGTGTTTGTGTGTGTGTGTCGGGGGGGGTGGTCTGGGGTCTAACTCTCCCTGGAAGAGCGGGTCAGGTCACTGAGTGTATTTATATTGATTTTTGATTTCTTTCACGTCGCCTTGAATCTACATTTACATTGATGTCTTCCCATCTGCACTGTCCCCAGTAACGCCGGCCCTAATGCTTACCGCAAATCCACAACCCACAGTCCCTACCAGTTTATTTGTCCCCCCATCCGGCGTTGAAGCTGCAGGCCCCAAGTTTCATGCCGTTTGTTTCCATCTAAACAGCTCCTGGATTTGAGTTATGTTGGCCTCATTCCTGCTCAATCTTCTCTTTTCCTCAAAAAGGCAGAAATGTCTAACAAACCTGTTCTTGGCTGCGAAATTCCTGTATCATTGGACGCTGTGTGCTGAGTGCTGACCCAGCCCAGAATGCTTGTGCACGCCTTAAACGATGTCACAGCAGGGTTGCAGTCTCAATCTGGCGTATTTTCAAAAGAATTCACAATATATTTTAATTTTTAATCTTCCTTTTGAAGCCTCTCTGAAACGCCTTAGGACTGAGTCCCGAAACTGGTCAACACGTACAGTGGAATTTTCCAGATTATGATGAAAAACAGTCATTTACTTTATCGCTAAAGCATTCTTTTCCAGGCTATTTGGAGCCACCAGGCCTGTCTGGTAACTGGTACACTTTAAAATAGGTTCTTGGGAGATCTTGCAGTAAACATTTCATATTCTGCAGCATTTTGTTTGCAGTGTGTCAAGTGTGGCCTCCCCATACATTATTTATTCCCAAGATGCACTTGACACAGTCTATCCATAATTTAATGTTTCAGTCATAAATATTTAATAAACAATTTAACTTGTTTTTTTTATTTATTTAGTCATTAGAACAATTACATAAATTCCCATAAAAAGCCAAAATGTCAACTGAGTCTTTCCAGTCAACATGCAAAACTAAACTCACGTCAAATGTTTGTTGTGATACCTTTGCATTGAAATCAAGAGGCAAACTACAGTTGAAATATTAAATGCACAATACCTATTTATAAAAGATAAAAAAAACAAGCCCATCACACATAGCTGCCCTTTTTGGCATAAGTGTCCGGTCAGTACACTTCAAATCAGGAGCTGTAAAGATGACATGTTATTAAAAATGTCTGGGTGCTAACTATACAAGCTGCGATCTTCTCCAGTACAACTGGTCGAATTCCAGTTCCGGAGTAAATAGACAGTGTCAAAGTCAAAAAATGTTCTGTATGTGAAGATCCAGTGTTTTCCATTTCGTTTGATATGCCACAACACAGACAAGAAGCTAAAAGAACGAAAGTATCCTACATGTTAGCATTATGAATAAATAACTTGTTCTTCACAGCAAAAAACAGCATAGACAATACATTTAAAAGAAGTAACACGTCATACCTGTCCATAGACTTATTGATAAATCCTGAATAATTACCGAGTAATGTGAGCATTTGTCCATGATTACATGTTGAATATGGCGAGCTGACAGCTGTGACTAGATTGCTGAATTGATTTGTCATTTTCCAGCACAGGGTAAATTATCCATCCAAGACATTACTTGGAAGATGATTCTATATGATATCATACTGGTGTGGGTTGAGGAACAGCTCCTTTCACATTACAGATAACTGATCTCCAGCATTGTGTTTTTCTCAATTGGTTCCTCAGGCAGGGGTTTGAAATTACCGTTCTTGGTTCCGTTGAGCATTAACGGGATTGTGCTGACACCCCCAGAGCCGGGCTCTTTATCCACGGCCTCCCTCTCGTTAATCCTTTGCTCTGAGGGGAGCAGCCCTGCCATTTTACCCCGCTGTAGAAACGGGTTCCTGGCACTTTCTGGCTGTGTGCTTCCGTTCCCGTTCTGTGTGATCCTGCAGATCTCAGTCATCTCGGTCGCTTCCTCTCTGTCGTCCTCGTCCACGGCTGTGGTTTCTCTCAGGCTGTCCCTCCGCTCCAAGGCCCTCCTCCTTTCCCCGGGATGCTGCGACTGATCTGTTCCCAGCTCCTCCCGGCAATCCACCTTACGTGAGGAGCGGCACAGCGCTTTTCGAAAGCCCCGCTTGAAGTTGTCTGAGAGGAAGCCGTATAGTATGGGATTGGCACAGCTATTAGCGTAGGACAGCACTACCACAAAGTAGTACAATCCTCTGAATTCCCCTGGTAGTATCAGTACCAGGTTTATGATGTTAAGGGCGTAGAATGGCAACCAACAAAACACAAACACTGCAACCACAATGATAACCATTCGGGTGACCTTGCGTTCAGATTTTTTGCGTTTGCTCGAAGTGGCACGGACCTTCTTTCCTGCACTGCGGACCTTGACCACAATAAACAAATAGCAGAGAGAAATCACCAGAAGCGGGCCGAAGAAGCCGACAGTGGACGTGTAGATGATGAATGTCGTCTTCCAGATGTCCGCGGGCTCGGGCCAAATGATGTTGCAAGTCCCCGTGTCCTTGAGAACATCGGCAAAGATTACCACAGGCAGCACCACGATGAAGGATACCACCCATATCGTCAGGTTCACGGCCTTAGCTGCTTGGGGCTTGCGCCATTTGGACGAGCGGATGGGGTGCACCACTGCCAGGTAGCGGTCGATACTCATCATTGTCAGGCAGAAGATGCTGGTGAACTGGTTGATTCCATCCACGGTCATCACCAGGCGGCACATGAACGAGCCAAAGGGCCAGGTGAGAAGAGCGTTCTGGACGGCCAAGAAGGGCAGGCCCAGCATGAAGAGCTCATCGGCGATGGCGAGATTCAGGATATAGATATTGGTGACGGACTCGGTCTTCGAATAATGCAGGACAATGTGGATGACCAAGGTGTTTCCGCCAAGGCCAATGATGCAGACTGTAATGTAGATAAGAGGGATGAGTATGCCTGCCACGCTAGGGCCAAAACCACCGCCCACACTGGTGGCATTCAGGAAAGTGTCATTTAGGAAGGTTGGAGACTGGGAGAGGCTGGTATAGTGGGGAAAGGTGGTACTGTTCCCCCATAAGTCTAGAAGAGTTGGGTTCACATCTGATCTTGGGGGAAGCTCCATGGAGGTAGTGGGGAGAAGCATTGGATCTTTGTCAATGATGACCCATTAGTCCTGGAAGGGAAAAGGCAAAGGGATCAGTCAGAGTCACACCACAAAGGTCATGCGTTTCTTCTGTCATCAATCATTTTGTAATTGTACGGCTGATATCAATGATTGCATACATTTACAATCAATGAAGAAATTTTCATGGATTCAGAGTCTTTGTGACCAGCGGGACTGTTTACTGGTTATTCAAACAGCCCACATACAGTCACTCTCGAATGATCCACTAAGGCTACGCACGGAAAGGAAAATGACAGAAAACATTAGACGGACATTTGAGATCTGAGAAATGGAAGCACTGGTGCATTTTGTGGGCCCCGTCTGTGGGTGTTGCTGCCACCTAGGAGGTGAGATTTCCATGCATGCTTATGGACTGAGATTTATTCCAACGGCCCGTCTGCTGCTGCAGCTCAGGCTGAACGGAAAAAATACACTTTCTTTGCACGGTAACAGCTTTTTTCAATAACCATTTCAAAATTCATATATTCCGAATCATCAGCTATTTCCGAATTTCATTTCCCTGTAAACCCGGTATATATATCAATATACTTCCATCCATCCATCCATCCATCCATCCATCCATCCATCCATCCATCATTCATTACTACAGATTCTGTTCTCTATTTTCAATCTTCAACACGCTTTTGTGGCTGTCGATGTACCTCGTCCCTGTGCCCGCACCAGAATGGCTAATAATTCACATTCTATTGCCATTAAGGCTGAGTGACTGAACAGGGTGGCGAGAGTGTGTGGTGCATTTAGCCCAGAAATGGGCGGCCTTGTCTTTCCGCTTATGGGGCTCTGCAAATTCACGCCTCCAAGTTCTTGTGGATGGAGTCACACGTTTGGAAGGATAATTTTTAACACGTGTTCACGCACACACACTTGTACCCAGGGTCAAACTTGGGGGGGGGGGGGGAATGCCGATAGGGTGGGAAAACAAGCACGCCCCGTCTGCAGGTGTGTGGCGTCTGCGTACGAGCCTCCGCTTGCATCCTTTTAATACTGCAGAACGGTCCCTTGTACACCACGTGGGCGTATTGCTACAGTAATTGTTAGATAACGCCGCCTGATTTGGAACAGAGCGCCGGTCGGCTGGACCGAAGCGCAATCAGGCCATAATCGTACCATCTGGGACAGTCATTTTCAGACATGCCAGGAATTTGCCAGCATCACACAGAATTTTGAGCTGCGGAGACTGAGCATGGCGACACAGGGGTGAACCAACTGCTCTCGGGCAGAAACACCGAATACGACAGCACCGTCTAACCAATTATGCCCGATTACACTTTATAACAACCTAAGCCTTTGCTCCCTTCACACACACACACATACAACACACCACCTACCCAACAATACTCTCCACACATTTGGGATACCCTTCGATTTACGTCTTGGCATAAATGATGGGGGATGCCTGTCTTTGTTGGTCTTGTTGCTGGTCAGTAGTTATTTTGTTGTAACTATAGTGAATGTAACTATAGTGAACGTAACTATAGTGACACAGCTCAGGCAGTGTCCATCGTCAGTTTAGTCCTTAAGGGTGAATAGAGGTAAGGTAATGCATCAGCAGACAACTGGATAGATGGTTTTGATCACTGTACACTATTCAAGGATCCCGTTTCCCGTTGAGCCTTTTCTTCCACCCTTTAAATCCATCCTTCCCTTTCAACCCAGACACAAAAGTCACAAGCTGTTTTGTTAATCAGTGTATTTATTTCTGCTATTGTATATACTGTGTCTGTCTCTTGTTGGAAAGAAGAGGAAGTTTCTGAGAACAATGTATGCATTTGCAAAATAAATTTCAAACATACAACAGTGGGTTATGCACAGTAGAGTCTGTAATGTACTATAAATGGAAACAAGATTTTTTTCATTATTATTAAGAATCAAACACACCTCCGCAATCGTGGGCTTTAAACTGGCACCCAGCTCTGCGTGAGCTTGCATGCTCCCCTCGCGTTTACACCAGGCTCTCTGCCAAACTCAATGCAGTTCAGTTCAGATATACGTCTTTGCATGTGGCCTGCGGTGGATGGATGACCCCCCCGCCCCCTCCTTTGCCTGTGATTTGTGGGACAGGGTCTGATCACCACAAGCTAAACAGGCAAGAACTTGGAGCAAACAGACAAACCTTTTTGTTACATCTAACATCAATGTCTGGTGAAAGACAATGTTTTTAACACTTAACGCCCGACATAACACCCCATTTACAAACTTAAGTCTCTCTTTTATACAGTATTGTGTGGACATTTCAACTGTTTAACTGTATTATTTACATCAGCAGTACATTCATCCGGTTTCCTGTCACCCACTGAACAATCCAAACATTTTCCCATAAACCTGTGAAAACCCCTGGCTTATTACAATTTCTTCACCATCAGAACCAATCATAAACTGCTATTAAATTCACACAAAAAAGGCTTCAGTAGGTACTGAGGGTAGACCGGCCATGAAAAAGCCAGAACATGATGATGAAGTAGTTTCATTACTGTTTGAAAACCTTAGGTAGACATTTTAATCTGAGCTTTATGGAACCTCAATTGTGATCTGGACTGGCCTTGCAACTGAGGTAGAAAACTCGGTGTGTGGCAAATAGTGACACTCCTATGGTGCTTTGCTAATGATCACATGGATTCTCAAGGAACAAAGAAAAAGGCGTATAATTCAGTCCCATTTATCTACAGCACGTCCATTTTTATTTATTTCTGTGCAGTGTGTTGTTGGTGCTCATTTTGTCTGAACACAGTCAGTGCATATAAGATATAAATCCATCTTCCAAACGTTTATCCAGGAAAGGGTATCTGTGAGCTTAGAGGCAACTCCAGGAAGCTCAGGGCACGAGGTAGGGGACACCCTAGACAGTATATTTACCGAGCCACATACCTTTGTACCTGGTGAGGCACCTGAACAGTGTTTCCCAATCTGGTCCTTGGGGTCATTTTGCGGACTGTCTAGCAGGGAGCTGAAGGAGCAAAAAACGTGGCCTGACTGGGGATCCCTGAGGACCGGGTTGGGAAACACTGACTTAGAGGAAAGCTAAAGGAACAGGTGGAGAAAAACGGAAGCCCCCTAACCATGAAGGTGTGAAGTTACAGTACAGTGCAGGCAATTAATGTAGCACATGCAGTCAGGGTAGAAAAACATACGGTTTGGCACTGTCACAAAGGCGTGATACTGTGCCAACAGGGATTAATTGCCGAGGCTCGAGATGAAGGAGGATTGCAGAAGAACAAACAGGACGAGAAACGATGTCACCAACCATGTCTTACCCTTGCAACTTATCTACAGAAAATACCAACAGCAGATACGTCTCCAGTGAGAAACAAGCCTGCGATGGATTCATGGCTGCCAGGGCGATTGTTTCCTTGCCCATATAACCGTCAAGCAAGGCCTTGCTCGTTGACTAATTAGCGCACCCTGAACTGTGGACAGGACAGAGCCAAACGGGAGCACAGAAAGGCGCTTATCATGGGTGGTCAAGCACTCCCCTCGCTGCCTCGACTCAGGCACTATGTGCAAGTGTGAGCAGCCCAGATGTATCTGCCTGGCTGCCCCATCAGCATCTAATTGCCCAGGAGTTGGTCGTCCTGCCCACAGACTGCAGCTTCCGAAGAGTAATACACACTCTGCGGTCCGTCCGTCTCCCCTCAAGCACCCCCCCCCCCACCTGGCGTCACTGGAATAAACTGACATCTGTTTCAGGAAAAAATATATAAAAACCCATAGGATACTTCAGGACATGACAGGGCAGTTTTGGGGAAGGTGAAGCTTTGACAGTCCCCAGAGGGCAAGCTTAGGTCCACTGTGCAGCAGTACATTCAGGAAAAGCAGAGGCTGGTCTGTGGGTCTGAGCCTTAGCGAGCGAGTGGAGAGGAGGACTCATGCCACATTCCTGCCCGCTGCACAGTTTAGCAGATCAGGAAGTCAGACATAATTGGTTTGGATTTTGTTTCTCAGTCAAACTCTTGATATGGTAATCTCCCTCACCCCCGTTCAATTGGGCTAAGTGAAAAATGCTTTAAGAAAAAAACAAAATCCATATGATTCACTTTTCCTGTTGCATGCAAAGGAGAAATGCCACCGGGCACAGAAAAAATAACAGGCACCGTGGATGAGGTGCGAGTTTAGAGCACTCCTGTGGCAGAGCAGATGGCAAACCTCATACGGGCACAGGTGCGGACACTTAACGACCCGATTAAAAAAGCGGCTCCGCGCGACAGGAAGCACGTGGCACCGGCTTCTGCATGCCGCGGGCTTTTGTGTTGCGAGCTTGATGGGACGTTCTGTTCAATTACGAGTCAGCGGAGCCGCGGATCCGCCAGCCGTCTCTCTGTACGCGATCACCTTCGAGCAAGAGGCACCCCGCCTTGCCCCAAATAATACATGCGGGGAGGGCAGGGAGGAGGGGGCAGGGAGGAGGGGCAGGGGCTCGGCAACACAATCGACCGTCATTTTGAAAGTAAGGCCAGCTGTGTGTAGCATACCGGAGCTGAGATGTTGGGCGTCACTCAAGCGTGTGCAGCGCACTTGCTGGAAAATGACTTGCAGCAATGCACTTCAGTAAGGCTAAGCTAATTCCAGGTCCTCACTAACCACAGTACTTCTTTCTATGTCTGCTCAGTACCTTGAATTTTCCTTGCCTGTTGTCATTTAATTGACCATTTCTTAAGGATTATAATCATGTTTAGATGATTCTAAGGGGCAAAACACTCTGGTGTTCCATTAAACCATTAAAAGCCTGGATTATTAAAATATTCCCAGACTTCAGGAACATGAAGGAACATGGCATAAATCAACAGCGTATCAATCTCAAACTATGATATGCTAGTCACATAAAAACAGAACAAGATGGCAGTGTTATAGCTGAATGCTAGAGCCCTTGAAGCAACAGGAAGTAGCTTGTACGTGTCACATGTCTCTTGACATTGCAGTCACATGACGTGTGCCATTCGTCATTAGCCATAGCTTCCTGGAGGAATTGTCCATTCAGTGAGAGTCTAATGCAAGTGGATTTTGTTGGAGTGAAGATAGCAGTGGAAGAGGAACTGGAGTAAAGTCCAGTGAAATGGATGCACCAAATATATTTTCTTTTCAGAGCCACAGAATGGGAGAAATTAAGGTCCAATCTGATTTTGTAAGTTCATCCACTTTTCAAGCCTTTTTGTTTTTTACCAAACGCATACAGTACCTGGAATCTGTTTGTGTTTACCGTGAAACAGGAAAATCAGCCTCATGTTTGTTCGGTCCCTGACGGCACTTGCGGCCTCAGGGGGTGGAAACAGAGACTCACCAGGTGAAGCCTGTGGCCATTCTCCCCCCCCCCCCCCATCAGCTTGCCATGCTCCACACGTTCTGCCTGTGTGTCATTAATCACTCCCCTGCCTGCTGTTTGATCACAGCAGGGGAGGCTGGAAAACAGCCCCAGTCCTCCCAGTCCACACCCTGTCTTCACCTTGACCTGTGCTGTGTTCCGTTTACCTCAAAAGTCAGAAGTCAGAGCTGGGAATGACGTTAACCGCATTCAGAACAAGTAGCCAGCTTAGCCATTAGCAGTACCAGTTTTAGCCAAGTTCATTGTTAGCCATTGTTAGCAATACAACTTGATAACGCATTACAAGGTATTTTGCACATACAAACACTGCAGCGACACGTCCATAGATGGAGGTTTGTGCAGTACTCTGTGTGCAACCGATTAAATGAAGTATGAACAGTTGATTACTACAGCTTTTTACTGTCAAAGGATGCATGGAGCAGCCATCTTGAATTCTGAGGCTGGGGTTATAGAGGTTCATCTGTCTTTCCGAGTCAGAATTCCGACTTCAGGGGCATCCCAGCTGAATTTTCCCACTAAGCACTAGGAAATTCCAAGACATGAGTTGAAATGGAACGCGACATTAATCTCTTGTTTTTTCCTGAATCAAGCGTCGAAACTAAATGCACTGTGAAAATCTGCTTAGCTACAACATAACCTTGGTTCAGATCATCCTTCATAGAGTCTGTTGTTTTTGATGCAGGTAAATAAATGGTTGCTCCACATGATGTAACTGAGATTAGCAGGCCCCTCATTTTCCTCATTAACAGACGAGGCTCAGGACCCGGAGGACCACTGAGGAAATTTCCAGAAAGCTTTAAGGAAAATGGAACGACCTCTGTGCACTTCTGCCCCAAAACAACTGTCAAACATCAGACAGGAATCAAGGGACCAAATCGCAAGCAAAGTATATTAGACAATTTTTGGCAAACATATTTGAAACTCTGCAAAGGGGGCATTATCAGGCGATACAGCCAAGGCAGGAAGGCATGAGCCACCCGGATCGGCAGCAGGAAACGGAAAAACCCAAACTGCTGAAGGGACAGAACTGCAATTGAGTGAAATGCCGTTTCGGCAGACTGTCAGCTGGAGAGAGTCGCGTGCCCGTGAAGAGGCGCTAATCGTTCAGGAGAAGCATGGCGAGTGTTTACCACAGCTGCCTGCTCTCTAATCTTCCATGAAGGCAGCATCCTGATGAGCAGATGCAGCCCCTAATGTGAATTATGTGGATAAGTCCTCGATTTTATGGTCAGATCAAGAGATCAACTGTCAGATCAGAAGTTCACTCAAGTTATTAATGGTTTAATAGGTAGGGCAACAGGTTTGCTGTAGCTGTTGGTGTTCTGACACTAAGATCAAAATACCATAAGGTTATTAATACAATTGCTACTTCTGCTACTAAAATAACTATTGACACCACAACAGTATGTCCATTTCAGTTCTATACTAATTGGAGCCAGGCTGGACCAGTGGGAATGATGGTGGTATGAAACCTCCAGGGTTGTGGGTTCGAGTCCTCCCCTAGCTTTGGGTGTGGATATTACACATTCTCCCCATTTTTACATGGGCTCCTACAGGTACTCTGGTATCCTTCCATAGACTAAAGACATGTGGTTTGGGTGAACTGCTGTTTAACTTACTTAAAGTGCATGAGTTTGTGCTCTACGATGGACCAGCATCCCATCTGAGATATGGCCTGCCTCGTGGCATAATTCCTTCCAGGAATAGGCTTCAGTGTCACTTTGACCCTGTACTGAATAAGCAGTCACAGAAAAGCTTTTGCCAGGAAACACGCATTCTAAAACCAAACAAGTTTGTCCCCTGAAACCCAAATAAACTTCCAAATCTGCACACACGTGGCCCATCCGGTTGCTGCTAATGGACCTGTGTGTACTGTGTGCACATGCCGAGCTCTGCAACTCCGGCTGCCTCGGCCGATAATCACATCCAAATGGGAGTCATGGAGAAAAAGTGGGTAGTTTATGGGGGAAGTGGGCTGGTGCTGATTCATGAGTCATTGAGACAGGTTGATGCTGGGCGGAAGAACAGCAGGTGGCTGGGGATCTGTGCTGGTAACCAAAAACGTGGGTTCAAATCTCCCAAGCACAGACCCACAGCTACGTTTAGCTACATTTAGCTTTTCTCCACAAGTATCCTGTCAGTGGACAAAGTGGTAAATCAGTTGTTAGTTCTGAGTTATTTAAAATGCGAGAGTTGCTCCCAGTTCTTCGGATGTGGGTTATGGAGAACAAATTATATAACGAATGTGGCTTGTGTTTAGCACGCAGATGTTTCTGGTGTCTCAGTAAATCTGTTTCTCACACCAGAGCCAGACAGGGTTCTGCCATCCTTCCCCACTAATCCAAAAACTCTGTTGGAGAGGAGGACAGTCATGCATCCTCAGGGCTCTGCATAGGTACGGCTGCAACTCTGCTCGCATGTCTGAGGAGTTCTTAAGCTGGCCGTGTCCCAACCTGGGGGAGGCTGCACTGACACCAAAAAGAGGCCAGTCAAAGATAACATTTATCACAGGGCAGGAGGCTTACGATAACCACGGCTGTAACTTTGGATACTGTGTCCTCAACTGATATGTTGATCAGAACAGAACATTTGCTTTTTACGTTAATAAAACTGTATGTAAGCACAAACACATTCATTTGATAATGAATCATTTTGCAATAAAATATCGCTGTGACTAAACTGGAAATATTAAATTGTACTTTTTGTGTACACTTTAAATTTTTCAAAATTCATTATTACTATATTAAATAAGTACTTTCAAAGCACTGGAAACATGAGAGGAAACTGACTAATAGTAATAAAATAACTATAGCACGTTGTTAACGTTGTATAACAATGCTATGTATTACTATTTAATACACGACTAGTTTAATACATATTTAGTTCGGTTTAATAAATATCCGAGATCCGGAATGTATTGCCCTAAAGTATAAACAGCCTGCGTATTGTAGATCGTAAACATTTTACAACAGAGAAACGGTTACATACGTCTAGACCCTTAATCGATCACAAAGCTTCCGTATATATTTGACATACATTTCACGTATGTTAGTTAATTTTCACACGTGACTAAAACAATCGCCAATTTCACAGAAATGATCAAAGATATATTTCTTCCGACAATTACACCGGATTGTAAACTGAACTTACCTTTATCGGAATTTTTCGGTTTTTCCTCCCGAAGAGTCCAGGTATAAATGCATGAAAATCAACTATATCAAAATAGTTGTATAATAATAATAATAATAATAATAATAATGTATTCCACTTAAAAGTACTGTTCCTTAAAATGTGACACGAAAGGAAAGGTTGTGCGCTCCTAACTCCGCAGGTACTAGGGATGCCAAATGACTCAGTATTACTACCATCCTTCACTCGTAACCAGGTAACTGCTCTGTGGCTCGCGCGGGCGCAGGGAGTGGAATGCAAGGTGTGCGATTATCCGCTCCGCTTGTGAGCGCGCCTCTGAGTGTGTGACCGCGCCTGTATGTGCGTGGGTGTGTGTGTGTGTCTGTGTGCGCGCATACGTGCCTATATGCAGCGCGCTTACTTACATTTGCGCAAAGCGACCACGTGATGAAACTTGGTCTGCCCAATCCAGGTGACGATTTGCGTTAGTGCAAAAATACATGAATTAAATGCAAATTAAAAAAAGAGTAGTGAATTTCGCGATGTAAGATTCCGAAGTGAAAACGGCAGTGTGACCTGTACTGTGATATGAATAGTTTTCAAATCTGACTGATCTATATATTTTGTGGATTATCCGAATGATTCTGCATGCCAACGAAAGACGATGAAAATAATACCTTCATTAATAAGTATTTGGAATACTTTGATGCAATAATTTAACTTGATAAAAATGTGGAAGTAATTGTTTTCAGAGTGAGGTTAATGGCTCCAAATGTTTTCCTCTGCCTAGAGTTTGATTTCTTTTGTTTCCTTACTACATTCTGTGATTTTGCCACCATAAGGCTGCAGGGCAGACGGCAGTTATTAATGTTAGACGTTTATTTGAGTCTGCTTAGAATAATTGGGGTACAAGAGTTAATTTTCAAAAATTACACATATTGTGGTTAGGTGCAAATGCACGGGAGAAATAGATTTTAATAGTAGTAATAACAGTTAATTTCTCACACCGCATCACTGACGCATGCCATGCCCCGGCTTTCGTTTGCGGCGTCTGCAATGACGCCCACGCTGTTGAGTGGTTAATTGTTGATTTGTGTTTCAGGGGCAGACATTGCTAGAGAGTTTTAATTACTCGGTAATGATGTATTTAATTCTTCCGTAAAAGACCGTCTTTTCTTTCCCTTACCCAATTTCATTTAGGCGTTACATAGCGCTCCCGATATCTTTGTAAGAGGACGAAGGTCCATGTCTCCCTGCCTTGCTGTATGACTGTGAGACATGGACGCTATCCAATGAGCTGAGACGAAGACTGGACTCCTTCTGTACTGTATCTCTTCGGAGAATCCTTGGGTACCGCTGGTTTGACTTTGTGTCGAATGAGCGGTTTCTAGAGGAGTCCGGAATGAGGCACATTACCTGCATTGTGAGGGAGCGTCAGTTACGCCCACGTAACACCTGGCTCCAGCAGATAAACAGCCATTTCTGGATGGAGGAATTGGACTGCATGTCAGGCTGGGGGGTGGGGGGGGTTAACCAAATGGGATCTCAAATTGTTTCATCATGTGGTTGATGTGGCATCGAGCTGTACCAGTGCATGCTGCTCAACCTGATCTGACCTGACCTGACCTGCTACATTCAGAGCATTACGTTCCCTCGGGACATAAAGATTTCTATAGCATAATTTACACTCACCTAAAGGATTATTAGGAACACCATACTAATACGGTGTTTGACCCCCTTTCGCCTTCAGAACTGCCTTAATTCTACATGGCATTGATTCAACAAGGTGCTGAAAGCATTCTTTAGAAATGTTGGCCCATATTGATAGGATAGCATCTTGCAGTTGATGGAGATTTGTGGGATGCACATCCAGGGCACGAAGCTCCCGTTCCACCACATCCCAAAGATGCTCTATTGGGTTGAGATCTGGTGACTGTGGGGGCCATTGTAGTACAGTGAACTCATTGTCATGTTCAAGGAACCAATTTGAAATGATTCGAGCTTTGTGACATGGTGCATTATCCTGCTTGAAGTAGCCATCAGAGGATGGGTACATGGTGGTCATAAAGGGATGGACATGGTCAGAAACAATGCTCAGGTAGGCCGTGGCATTTAAACGATGCCCAATTGGCACTAAGGGGCCTAAAGTGTGCCAAGAAAACATCCCCCACACCATTACACCACCACCACCAGCCTGCACAGTGGTAACAAGGCATAATGGATCCATGTTCTCATTCTGTTTATGCCAAATTCTGACTCTACCATTTGAATGTCTCAACAGAAATCGAGACCTATTTGTAGTGGAGATGAGTGGTACCCGGTGAGGTCTTCTGCTGTTGTAGCCCATCCGCCTCAAGGTTGTGCGTGTTGTGGCTTCACAAATGCTTTGCTGCATACCTCGGTTGTAACGAGTGGTTATTTCAGTCAAAGTTGCTCTTCTATCAGCTTGAATCAGTCGGCCCATTCTCCTCTGACCTCTAGCATCAACAAGGCATTTTCGCCCACAGGACTGCCGCATACTGGATGTTTTTCCCTTTGCACACCATTCTTTGTAAACCCTAGAAATGGTTGTGCGTGAAAATCCCAGTAACTGAGCAGATTGTGAAATACTCAGACCGGCCCGTCTGGCACCAACAACCATGCCACGATCAAAATTGCTTAAATCACCTTTCTTTCCCATTCTGACATTCAGTTTGGAGTTCAGGAGATTGTCTTGACCAGGACCACACCCCTAAATGCATTGAAGCAACTGCCATGTGATTGGTTGATTAGATAATTGCATTAATGAGAAATTGAACAGGTGTTCCTAATAATCCTTTAGGTGAGTGTATGTGCAGCAGCATTTTTTTTTCTCATTTGCCATAGGTAACAAAAGTCTTATTCCAGTGGCTAATTATGTGCTTGTCTTGGTAATTCTCTGTCTCTGCTGCTAAATATACACCACGTGCAATTACTCGCATTGACGTGCAACTCAGTTAAGAAAACTGCCTTCCAAGTAATTATAATCTAACTAGCACTGCTTTCCGTATATGAATTGGTAACATATTGGGTTATAAATTACAGGATATCTAATCATGAGGTGGCAGGGTGGTGTGTGTGGGTGTGTGTGTGTGTGGGTGTGCGTGTGCGTGTGAACACTCTGTAATGCACCAGCATCCTATCCCAAGTGTACGCTGCCTTGTATTTTCTGGGATAGGCTCCAAGCTCTGCATAAATGCTATGGAAGATGGCTAGATGGTTTCACGGATAGGTATTTATTGCAATGAATTATTTTTCAATAATTTGAGTGAAGGCAGTGGTGATGTAGACCCTCTCCAGAATCATGGCGGCCGGACATTGCAGCCTGGGCGCCTTCCAATGCAGGGCACTCGGCATCACAGCAAGGAAAATGCAGAGTCGCAATTCATATAAACTGCCTGCCTTTGAAGTGTGGGCGGAAGCTGAAGTAGCTCACAGAGCACCCACGCAAACATGGTGAGCACACGCACAAGCTCCTCCCACGTGTTTGTTTTTTCGCCACAAGGGTTGAGGGCATGAGCCGGTGGCGGCCCTGCTCACTGAGCCGTGATTCGCCAGATGCCCGGTGGATCCCCGTGGCCGATACCTTAGAAGCGAGTTTGTGTCACTGCTTCTGAGTTTGCCCAGTGTTCTACACCTGCCAACAGCACACACCTGCCTGTAACGCAGACTATTACAGATGCAGGAACTTCTGTGGAAGACAAGCCACAGAGTAACAACAGCGAGAGAGATGAGAGCACAATTTTCAAGTTTGGGAGTGTATGATTAGGCTGGAAATGATGCTGAAACATTTAAACTTCCATTTTTAAAAATGGTATCTTCATCTCTCTCCACATTTTCTCTACCCTTCACTCTCTTCCCCCCAGGATGTGTATGTGTGTGTCTGTGTGTGTGTGCGCACGCATATGAGTGGCTCAGATATACCCAAATGTCCCCATGATGTGGTAAAAACCTGTTATTTTGACATTGTGGGGGCCATATTTTTGGTCCTCACAAAGGGGAAATTCAGTTTTGGAAAAATCTGTGACTGCAATCAAAAAACTACAAATGCAAACACTTGTATTTGTATTTGTATTTACTTATGGTTAAGGTTAGGGCTGGGTCGGGGTTAAGGGTGTCGTTGGGATTCGGGTTTTGCCTGTAGAAATGAATGGAGAGTCCCCACAAAGTTATGAGTACTGGTGTGTGTGTGTATGTTTTATTCATCAAACATGGAACAATACCTTTGAGAACATTTGGCCTTGCTATGGCTCTAATACATAGCTCCTCTCTGCGCCAGTGAATTCAGCTTACGACCTTCATGAGCTGCCCTTTCAGGGTGAGCATGTAGTCGTGCCTGTACCCTGCTTTCAGGAAGAGCTTGTAGCCATTCCTGTACTCTGCATTCCTACAGTATAGCCGTACCTGTACCCTGCTTACAGGGAAAGCCTGTAGCTGTGCTGGTACCCTGCTTACAAGGTGAGTCAGTAGCCGGTCCAGTATCCTGCTTAAGGGTTGACCCTATTGCTGTGCCTGTACTCTGCTTTCAGGGAGAGCCTGTAGCCGAGTCTGTACCCTGCTTTCAGGGAGAGCCTGTAGCCGAGTCTGTACCCTGCTTTCAGGGAGAGCCTGTAGCCGTGTCTGTACCCTGCTTTCGGGGAGAGCCTGTAGCCGAGCCTGTACCCTGCTTTCAATTTCCAGTAAACTCAGGGCAGGTGAACAGGGCTTGGAGGCAGATGGCGATGCAGGGCTAATTGCTACTTCTTTCTGACAGGCTGTTATTTTCCTAATTTTTATCCCTTTAGGCAGAGTTTAGCACTTTTTTCAAAACCTGCCTTTTCCACCTGCACTATAAGGTGCATTTTTGTAATATTCCTGACAGAATGGCTTGGTAATTGCTCTGATGGCTGTCAAATATGATATAGCGTAGGAATAAGAAGCTGGATTTGAAAAATAAATAAAGGAACTGTAGTTATGAATATGCTATTTGGCTCCCCTCCCTATTTTTCCTCATATAAAGATTTTTCTTTCTCATGCATTGCGTGGTGCACTCAGTCACCCTGATGCCAACCTGCAGCAGACTCCATGTTTGTTTGAGTCCCACCAGCTATAACTGCTGTAAATGTCTCGTGTTTAAATTTTTTTCCCCATCCAGAATGTTTTCTACAGTGTGGTGCAGAAATGCTTTGAGTTTTGCCTTCTGTATGAAAATAGAACATGCTTGGTTTATTAGTCCATATGGGGCACTTTGAAATTGAAATTGTTGCATAAATTAAATGTCTGTCAGGCGTCTTATTTTATTTATAATAACAGATGCCTTCATCCTGTAGCAGTTGGGGTTAGGAGCCTTGCTTTGGGGGCTTGATGGTGACGTCACTCTGC